AATATTATTTCATGTAATAAAAGAACTTTTCAATCAGATCAAAAAATTCGACATTGTGGAATCTGTGGAAGTACATCTCATATCGCATCGAATAAAAGATGTTCTGGAAAAAAATACAAAAGTTTTTATTAATATTATTAATCATAAATTTATTGATCTCTCAAACATATGCTGCAAGATGTGGAATATATGGAAACCGTGGTCATAATAGAAGAACATGTCCAACACATATGATTCATTATGGATCTATTCCATATGATAGAAATTATGCTATGGTTCCATATAATCAAAATCGTGCTCTTGTACCATATAGAAATCCTATTTCTTTTCCTCAAAAATCTATGTTTTTTTCCAATAAAGATAATATAATGAATAATTGGAAAGTTCCATGGGCAACAAATGTAGTAATCAAAACACATCCTTATCATGGAAGAACTTGTACTCGATGTGGTGCTATGGGTCATGGAAAAGGAAAATGTCCCATTCCTGATGCTAATGTAAATGCTTAACGAAACTTGAAAAGTATAAGAAATTCTGTAAAAAAATATTTTGAAAATCCATCATATAAATTAAAATTATGTAATTGTTGTAGTGAAATTGGCCATTCTGAAAAACATTGTATAATTTATAATGCTGCTGGTGCTAGAGGTTATTGTATTCCAGATAATCAAAAAAATGAAATCAAAAAAGGAATAGAAAATTTTAAAAAAATATACAATTTATATAATAAAGTAGTTCCTCAATTCATGTTTCCTCAAAATCAATATAGTCAAATAGTTCCTCAATATACACCTTTTCGAAATCTTTTAACATATTAAATAAAATGAATTTAATAAAAATATTATATTTATCAGTATTAATAAATTTTGTGAAATGTCAATTTGTTTACTATTATCCAGATTTTAATAATATACCTTACCAACATGTAAATATACCTTATCAATATGTAAATATATCATACCAACAACAATTTATGAATATACCACAACAACCATTTGTTTTTTATAATCAAAATATTCCTAAAATACCAAAAAATCCTAGAGTACCAAAAATACCAAGAAGACCTAGAATTCCAAATTATATTGCCGCATGTGGATGTTGTGGTAATGAAAATCATAATCATTATAATCCTCAATGTCCATTTCAAAATGGATTAGTACAACCATGTTTAAATCCTAGATTAATAAAATCAATTAGAGAATTAAGATTGTGGTATGTTGAAAATAATAGACCAGTACCTCCAAATATTGGAATTGGATTACAAACACAACCAAAACAACCACCTCCTGTACCACCTAGACCTCCACCTCCAACTCCTCCACGACCTGGAAATAATAGAAATGGTAATGGAAATAATAATATTCCCCATAATGGAATGGATTTACAACCTATAAGAAATTTACAAAATCAATTTCAAAATCTTCAAAATCAATTTCAACAACGTGATCAAAGATTGGTTAATATAATTAGACAATCAGAAATCCAATTAGAAACTATATTAGATCGTATGAATAGAAATATTAACACTCATTATACAAAAACAAATGATAATATTTTTAA